TTTAATTGGAGAGCTCTCTAAATTGGAATTATTACTAGTAAAAATTGATTTAGAGAGCTCTCTAATTGGAATTCTTACTAGTAAAAATTGATTTAGAGAGCTCTCTAATTGGAATTCTTACTAGTAAGAATTAAATTGTAGAGCTCTTTAATTGGAATTCTTCCTAGTAAAAATTCAGTTGTAGAGTTCTGTAATTAAAATGAATGGAAGTCAATGGAGACATATGACTAGTAAAAATTCATTTGTAGAGCTCTCTAATTGGAATTGCTGCTAGTAAGAATTGAATTACAGAGCTCTGGCATTGTTGCTAGTAAGAATTTAATTATAGAGTTCTCTAACTTAATTGTAACTAGTAAAATGAAATTGGGAATATTTTAAGCTAAGCCGGCTTGCCATATTCTGCAGCAGTTTTTGGATCAGATGAGCCTCAGCTACAGGTGATGCTGACGTATAATTGAGATGTTTTCAATGGCAGAATTAGGGCCTATATAATTTTGCATAGTAAAATGTACGTAAAAGGCACGGTCAAGTGGGCAGTTCAAAATAAAAGTTTGTAGAAATGTGAAGCTAACATGGGAAGAAATGACTAAAACCTTTCCTATGTAGTGACACTGCCTTGTTTTTTTTTGTTTGTTTGTTTGTTTTTCTGAAATTGGCCATTAGGCCTTCCATGGGGTTCTCTTCTGGCCTGATGCGATCCCTTAGAGTGTTTCAGTGACACCCTAGGCTACTATAAATCCAAGATTCAGATAATAAGAATGAAATTGATTGTTTGTGAATTTGAATGTAAAGACATCATGATCAGTCACCTATTGATTTTACAGTCTTGCAGTTTCATCATCTGCTGACATGCGCAATCTTACCTTTCATCCGCCATTACCGGGGCGTCAGGAACACGGGTGTGTATGTGTGTATTCCGCAGCTGTGTTGATATCTGCAGGCGGAATTGTGCAGCGGCGGCGGGTGACGGCGGAGTTCTCCCGGTTCCGTTAAGCATCTCAGCTCGCCGCATCCTCCATAGAGCGCGCGCGAGTGTCGCTAGTTGCCATGCGCAGATTCCACATGAAACTTTACGGTTGTTTCAAAAAAACAAAACAAATAGTGTTTATTGCTTGACTTACTAGAGTAGCGTTCTAGGTCGGTATCATTTATTTTATGTATCTAATAGGCTTGTGTTCATTGACATATATTTGTTACAGATGTTTGTGGTTTGTATTTTTTTTTATGTAATGTGTTTCAAGGGAAATAAAAACTCAGACATGTTTCTTTAGAGTTCACAGTAGCTAATCAATATGAATATTAGCAGCAGTCATCATTGCAGGAAAATGTGGGAGGAAAATGTATTGCTCCATCTCCTGGTTATAATCAGGCAGTGCAGCAATTTGAATCGTCTGTCAGAGTCGTTTAAAGTTGATAAATAATGCACAAATCCTGCATGGTTTGTGTCAAACCAGTGATCACATAATTGATACAAGATTTATTCGTTTTTATGAAACAATTTTACAAAAAAAAAATAATAATAAAAAGCCAACAAATATGAAGGCTGTATATAGAAGAAAAGAGATGAAAAAGTATATAAAAATTTAATTAAATTAAATAAACATTGAATGGCAGAGATCTAATATCGAGGCTATAGAAAACCTTTTCTTTTTTCTTTTTGCTGTCTTGGCAATTAGTGTTCTGTTATATTATGACTATTTTTTGTTTGTTTGTTTTTTAATCGAGGCAATATTTAGGGTTTTACATTCATAGTTGTTTTAAAAAGGTGATTATTTATAGTCCTTGTGTTTATGAACGATAGCTAGGCCTTATGTTTTATAGCGCTAAATTCTTGAAGCTCAATATAATTTTTTTGATCGTTAATGTAATAAAGCCACTGATTATTTAAACATAAGCATACTATTATTATTGTTGTTGTTGTTATTGCATACAATAATAGTATATAGGTACATTTCTCAGAGCCCGTCATGGTTTCATTCTAAACAGTGATAATTAAAATATGTAGTTTAGTAGCTTTTTGTGGTTTTTAACAACATCATACCTAAACTACTTTGACAGATTTAATGGGGGACCGAGGCTATTAGTTGTCACAGCGAAACAATAAGGTTTTAAGTCTAGTTTAACAAATGTTTGTTTTCTCTAGCAGTGGTTTTGCATGTTTGACTGTATACATAAACTTACAGTAATGTTTGTGAATTCTGTCCTCCAGACTAAAATTCCAGTAAACTTTATTATTAATATTTCTGTTGGGTGAACAAGGGAACACAATAAAACTACCCTGACGTGCTTTAAGAGTCAACTATTCAATGAAGTTGGCTTTTAACTGAAAGATTGAATTCTCAGGACAAAAGTATTTTTCATACATGTAAGGTTGGGGGAAATTATCACATTTATATCGGGCAGGTTGTCACGTGTTTCTCTTGTAGTATTTTTATACAATTTAATGATTACAATCCGTTGGCCAAAACCATTTTTAGAATGTTTGTTAGCCAACTGTTTGAATGGTTCTGTTCGTCATAATTGTTTTACTGTTTGAATTTTGCCGCAAAGGTTCCAAATGTGACGTACTGAAGCATTTGTCACAATAGAGCAACTTGTTAAACGAAATGTCTTTCTTATTTTAGATAAGAATTTTAGATAATGCTTTAATTGTTTTGTAATCAAATAATTGTCAGTAATTTAATTAAAAGTGCTGGAGTAAATTGTTGATTTGTACCCCATCGAATGTTTTTATGGCCTCTATAAGTATCTTCATATGTCATAATCTGTAATAATCTATTAAAGTCACAAACAGTTTGGAAGGTAATATAACACATCTCTCATGTCTTTATTTATATCTCTATTCCAGACAATAAAAGGAATTGGTTTCATCAAATGTTTTATTCTTGCCGTCTCTCTTTTCAAATCTTTAATGAAAATGTTTTATGATGGTTGACTTTACTCAGTATCATCACAATATTTCTATAATTCCAGTGCTGTTATTAATCAATAATCAATGGAAATTAATTTGTAGTCGATGCTGAAGGCTGCTGTCAGCTGTATTCACTTCATCTCAATATAAACTCACTTCACTTTATCTAATATAAACTCAATCTTCACTTCTGAAAATATGGACTAACATGACGATTTTCTTTTCTGTGCTGCCATCGTGTGGTCTATGATCAACATCTACAAACGACAAACCTCGAAATCTAATAGATAATAAACACATTTGCCGTTCATATATATGCATTATAATACTTTCACAATATATCATATACGTGACTTTATCTGTCACTGCGAGATTCATTCATGTTTTAGATTAGTAAATGTAGGCTATATAGGCTATCATTCAGGCTGATTTAACTCTCTTTACACACTCCGCAACACAACATGACCGGAACCGGAAAATGCGCTACAAAAATGAACAAAAGTGTAAATAAATACAGTATACACACTGTAAAACAGATAGCCTATTGTAAACAGTTTATCTGTTAAAATTTCTGTTTGATGTAAAAAAAAAAAATGGCGTGCACCTTTTTACAACTTTTATAACTTGTCCAAACTGCCATTGTTTTAATTTAAAGAAAGCAGTGACAAAGGGAATATAATATATTGCAGAGCTGGGGATAACTTAAGAAAAAGATTTAATTACCAGTCGTCTTAATATTATGCATTTGCTACTTGTATATGCTGCTTTTATTACAGGCCCTATGTATTTTACACAGTTATTAACTCCTATTTAACTTAAAGGCAGGGTATGTGATTTTTCAAAAACACGTCTGTGTATAACCGAAATATCCGGCTTGTTTTTACCCTAAAACACTGCTAAAATATTAGAAGCATTTGGTGACGAGCGATATGAATTATAAGCGACAATACAGACTATTTTGAAATGTAAGAATTTTTTTAGACTACAAGTTTCCCCACAATTTTCCGTTCTGATTTGTGTCATTTTGCCATCAACCAACAGGAGGAGACAGAAACACTTCACAGATGCAAGCTGCAGTCATATTCTCAAAACAGGATTTAGATTTATTAATAATTTGATTAATCTGGTCCCAAATCAGTCCCAATTTTCATAAATCTCATGATCAGAACTTAAACGGCAATACATGTTAGATCAGTTTTTCTCTTTAGCTATATTACTGCAAATGTTGAAACATTTCTATTCCAAAAACTACGTGTGCATCGTCAGAACTGAATGTTATCAGACTAGAAGGAATAAACACTTAACAAATCAATTAAATGAAAATGTTTTGAAATACATTTTAACTTCTCAAAACGTGCAGATGAGTGGTTTTTCAGGTGCTTATGCCTCACAGTAAATATAAAACCAGGGTTTCTGCAGGTTATATGAAGGTACATTTAAAATTTTGAGCAAAATAAGTAAAGAAAATATAAGGACTAAATTGAATGGAACACAATATGTCAGTATGGTCTTGTATTAGCAACACTTCAAAATTTGAAAATATAACTTCCAAAAAATCTTTCAGAAGATTACTTTTTAATTCATTTTAAAAACACAAACTTAAGGCTTGAATAGCTCTGCTCCCGAACACTAGAATATAGAAAAAAAAACTATCTTCTGATCACACTCTTAAAAAAAAAAAAAAAAGTGTTCTGCATCAGTATTTTTGTCTCGTTTTGGTGCAAATGTCTAAAGATTCTCAAATCAAAATACATTTATCTGATAAGAAGTTACATAAAATAAGTCTTGTTTTCTGAGGAACTGAAGCGAGTTTGTGATTAAAACAACAAATATCTTCTAATGGGCTCAGAAAAACTTGTGAACTTTTATGAATTTATGACTTTCTGCTCTTACCTAAGACATTTTAAGGCCTTAATTTGTGGAAGAGTGAATTAAGACTTTTTAAAACACACACACACACACACACACACACAGTCCATGCTTCAATAACCAAGATCAACATGTAACTTAAACAAGCTTATTTTTAATGGATCTGCAAAATCGTTTGAATTTCCAAAGAGAACGCTGCCCTCCCTGACACGTGTCTGGACTAGAAGAGATACTTCCTGTGAATTACAAACATGGCAAAACTTACAAAAGACCCCAAAAAACCCAAAGAAACCAGCATGCAGGAGAGAATGAGTAACTGAGTGAAGGAAAACAAAACAAAACAAAAAAAAACATACAGAGGAGATTCATAAAACAAAACATTCTGAAAAATAAACACAAAACTAAATTTAAAAAACAAAACAAAACAAAAAAATATATATAATGCCATTCTCTTCTGAGCAAACAGGTTGAATCCGGATGGTTCCACTCGGGCGTGTTGGGTTGAGTTAGTGGGTCAAGCAGAGAGGAGAGGACCAGTGAGTGAGTGAGTGTGTGTGTGTGTGTGTGTGTGTGTGTGCGTAACTGTTACAGAAAAGTGATGTTTAAGTGTGTGTTTGGGGGGGATGAGCTCTAAGGCTCTACATTAAGGCACCGGACGAAAGAAATCAAATCAAAGAACAAACAAACCCCAGCTAGAGAAGATCTCTCACACTAACACACAACACTAACCCCAAAACACTGGACAAAGTCTTGTCTAAAACGCTCCGCTACTCCTCTGCGCCGACGGACAGCGTCTCCAGGTCCACTGACGGTCTCTATGTAGTGGTGAATGCGCTTTTTGTTTAAATTCATTTCTTTCCTTCTTTAAAATAAGTAAGAAGAAACATGAAATGACTTTCTCTTTACATTTTTTTTTTTTTTTTTTTTCAGAAATAAAAATGATGTCAGCAAGATGTCGTGAGTGTGAGAAACATTAGAGATGTGTTTTATGGAGAATCCCATGAGAAGGACAGAACGGAAGAGTGTTAGACAGAAATGAGGGATGAGTGAATGAGAGAGAGAGAGAGAGAGAGAGAGAGAGAGATAGAGAGAGGGATATAGAAGAACACTTGGTCTTCCATCCTGTGACTCCGCCTCCAGTGCTGATGTCCACGTTTTCACTGTTGGGCTCTTTTACGGGCGTCTGCGGAAAAAAACAACAAACGTAAAATAGATATTAACAAACATTTTGGATGTGCAAACATCACATTTTGGGTTTTGGAGTGAACCCGGGTTTGTTTTGATCGCTTTCTGGTGCCCAAGTCACTGCTGCTGTCCGGCTGATCAGGACGCTCAAACAAACAGAGCCACAGTGCTCATTAGGGGTGTGCGATAATATCGTAATTGTTGTTTTAACAATATGTGATCTGACATTATAGAGTATGTCACTCACTTTGCATCTCTTGATGAAGCCTATTAGAATGCCTGGTAACACTTTATTTTAAGATGTCCTTGTTACACATGTTACATGTACTTGCTGTTATAATAACAATAAATTAGGCATAATTACATGCAATTAACCCTAAACCAAACCCTCATCCTATCCCTAACCTTATAGTAAGTACATGTAGTTAAAGGGTTAGTTCACCCAAAAATGAAAATTCTGTCATTAATTACTCACCCTCGTGTTGTTCCAAACCCGTAAGACCTTCGTTCATCTTCGGAACACAATTTAAGATATTTTTGATGAAATCTGAGGGCTCTCTAACCCTCCCATAGACAGCAAGGTAACTACCACGTTCAAGGTCCCGAAAGCTCGCTCTCTAACCCTCCCATAGACAGCAAGGTAACTACCACGTTCAAGGTCCAGAAAAGTACCAAGATGATCGGCAAAGTAGTCAGTGGTTCAACTGTAAAGTTACGAAGCTATGAGAATACTTTTTTGATCAAAGAAAACAAAAATAACGCCGTCATCACGCCGGATCTGGGTCAGCACCGCCACAGGCTCGCGTCATGATACTGTCGTGAACGCGCATCCACAAGTGACGCAGTAGAGAAGAAAATATTGAATAAAGTCGTTATAAAAAGTATTCTCGTAGCTTCGTAACTTTACAGTTGAACCACTGATGTCACACGGACTACTTTGTCGATCATCTTGGTAAGTTTCTGGACCTTGAACGTGGTAGTTACCTTGCTGTCTATGGGAGGGTCAGAGAGCCCTCAGATTTCATCAAAAATATCTTAAATTGTGTTCCGAAGATGAACGAAGGTCTTACGGGTTTCGAACAACACGAGGGTGAGTAATTAATGACAGAATTTTCATTTTTTGGTAAACTAACCCTTTAATTAATATTACACTCTGACAAGGACACCTTAAAATAAAGTGTAACCGAATACCTCTATAATTCCAGATATAGAAAGCAAAAATATCCCTGTATGGGTTTTTGTTTTTATATTTATATAGTTAAGTAATATCACACAAGCAACAGTGATGTTTTCAAAAATATACTTTGGGAGCGCAATTGCAATTGAGATATTCGTTTTATACAACAGAACAACAATATTAATATTGAGTGAGTGTCATTTTAGACACAATATTTTCTATATTGTCAATGAAAAATAGTTCCAAAGCAGAACATTTGTGTATCTCGGAGCAACACTGCAGTGTTTTGTTTCTGAATTAATCTGTTTTTGAATGAATCATTTGAGTCAGTGATTCAATGATCCACTGATAAGGACGGTCACTTGACTCGTTTCTAAATGAATCAGCCACTGTGACCGAATCGTTTGAATGAATGAAGGGACTTGCTGCCACCTACTGGCGGTTGTAGTGTCATATTTATTTATCCGTGACAGGCCTAAAGCACCAAAGTGCCAGCATAATAACACACTCAGAAAATATTCGTTATTGAAAAAAATCACAATATATATTCCAAGATATCATTTTCTGTCAATATCACACACCCCTAGACGTCTAGGAGAATCCACCTATGAATGATTTACTTATACTTGTCTCTACATATTAAGATGTGAATGGAAACAGATTAATGGGGCAATGGGGGAAAAAAATGACACCAAACCTAATAAAAATGCCCTCAAAATTCAAGATATGAGGGCACAAAATGCCCCTGTATGAGTTCTTGTTTTTTTTTTTTTTATAACATGATATATTTATGAAATATCACACAAGCAAGAATGATGTTTTTCTCAAATATCAGCACAACTACAAATATGATATTGATTTTATATTTACAACAATATTGAATGTAACACATTTGTAGACAATATTTCCCACACGTTTGTCCCATAATTTAATATTTCTATATAAAAAATGTTATGTATATATAAAACATTAATGTCACAGCATTATTTATGCAGTTGTAACTGCAGTGTAAATGCATACAGAGTGAGTACATGCCACTTCAGATGCAGCTTCTGTGCCACTCCTCCAGTACAAAGATGGATTTTGTTGATACGGATTTAATTTAATTGGTAACAGCCCTATGGCATCTTATTTTTCTAATTGAAAAGAATTTGACATAAAAAGATGACGCATTTAACAAGGTTAGGGAGAAATCTGGAGGCTCACATTGAACACCAACATCCAAAAATGAAAGAGGTGGAAGACCTCCAGAAATTTGCGCGCTAATTAGTTTTACTATCGAATTGAAATAATAACTCCAAGAATCAAATCGGATCATGGGATTACAAACTATTCCAAACCCTATTTGTTCAAAATCGAACCACAAACGGAGAAAATTCCTGTCATTACAGAGACGCAGATAAATTCATCATTGTCTCATATCAACAGAAACACAACCGGGGTGGGAATCTTTCAGCAAATCGATCTGGATTCACCTAATCCATTTGCAATTTCAAAGCGATTCTGTGAGTTGACAGTGCCTTTTGTTTTGTTGTATTATGATTCAGAAAAAAACCATACAGACTCATTTATGCTCCGTGCCACTATTAGAAATGGAGTATTATATAGACAAGTAAACACCAAAAGCAACAAACCAAGCATTTAATATACCAGAGAGATCAGCTGCTGTGACTGTGCATTTATGTCACATTTATAAGTCAAATGACATGAAATCGCCGCTCTTTTGCACTGCAATGTTTTTGCTTAAAAGCATTAAGCACAATAACAATGGTGTCATCAGTCAGTCATTCCCGAACTCACCTTTCTGAGAATGTCTTCTGCTAATGTGAGGAACGCCTTCTCGATGCTGATGTTGGCTTTTGCACTCGTCTCGAAGAAGCGAATCCCGTGTTCTCTTGCGATCTGAGGATCGGCACAAGTACAGTCAACATTCGTTGTGTTTGCAGGCCTGAACTAATATGTATGAACCCATTCGAGGATGATTAGAGATATGAACACTTAGCAAAGTGCTTCAACAGAGTGATAAATATTCAACACATAAACTGACTCATAGAACATTGAAAAAAAATCTTGTTAACAAATGTCTCAACTAGTGGACAAATTGCCCATTCTGACTAGGGCTGGGTATTGAGACAAATTTCACAATTTTATTAAATTTTGATTCACAAGCTTGTGATTCGATTTTCAATTTCAATCTCAATTCAGTATCGATTAATTTAAATGTATAGGCAATCAGGGACAGTGCATGTCAAATTTTTTTTTCAAGAAAAAACGTCTTATATAATGCTGTAAACTATACAATAAACGCTGTCAGTTGGTACATTACTATGTTAAAGTGACCTGTAAACAAACATTTAAACTGCACATAAGGCAGTTTTTATAATACATTTAGAATGATATAACTATGTTACACATTTAAACAGTGGATGTCAACTTGTTTGACGGATTTATTCAAACATACATTAAATATTACTGAATAGGTTACGTAAAAGCAAAACTTAATATTGAGTTTATGGTCATTGAGTGGCTTTTCTGAGGTAAACGCATCGTTATAACATTGTTTACAAGCCGTTTCACTGACATCTTTCCGTGGTTGAAACACTTATAGTTTGTTTCAACACCTTCTGATTTTTATTCATGTATATTTGGTGCAGTAACTAGTAGTAAAGCGGAAGAGATAGGTTCACATGCCACGTTTATACAGAGGTCTGTCGCACAACATTAAAGAATTAAACACCAAAACGGTATTTATAATACAACTGACATATTTTAAAAGCTGACACATCGCTTCACAGTGTAAGTAACAAAGCACAAAGCTTATTGTAATTTATTGAATGGGAGTTGTGCTACAAATAATGCTTCATTACATTTTGATCACGCATTAACTGAACAACACAGATCGATTCTAGGGACTTAAAAATACATATAGGTTCATCAAAATGAGAATCAAATAAAATCGATATTTTTTTTAACCCAGCCCTAATCCTAATTCATAATCCATCCACAGTCTCTTACCTGTTCCCCCTTGGCTTTTGGTACGACACGTTTGTCCTCCATGTCACACTTGTTGCCTAGCAGCATCCTCTCCACATCCTCGTTAGCGTGCTGTAACACACACACATTTGAGACGATGCATTCTTACAAAATACTGATATTCAGACTGACAGCCTAAATTAAAGTAGCTTCAGAAGTCACAGAAGAAACAGTACTGAAGAACTGAGTTTGCATCAGTGGTGCAAGTAACTTGGATTTGAACGACAGGCCGCCAAATACACAACCACATCCCTCATGGAGTCTCATGTTATATGAATTCTCTTGAAAGTGCCGATTGTTGGAAAATTCTGCATGAATCATCAGATTGAAAATCAAACAGTCAGCAGTTTCACTACACGACTATGTATCTTTAAGTTGGCGTTTTTACAGCACTGGAACTTCAAAAGTCCTACACCAGCGGTTCTCGACTCAAAAATGGGTCTCAGGTCTGTTCTATTTATAACAACACAACAATAAAAAGCAACTACCCATATGATCATGCATAGTCAGGCTAGTAAAATAAATGGGCTTATTAACTTTTAAAAGGGAAGAGAAAACACTTCCCATATTGTTTTTCATTGACGTCAAAAGATGCTTGTTCAAACAAACTCTGTGTTTGGATACAAATTCACGTCTCAAAAACCATGAACAAAACTTCGCAAGATAAAGGAAAACTGTATTTAATTATTGGCCAACATTTTCCTATTCAGCTCATGTCATAATCATTTTATACATCACTGAGCCAGAGTTAACTAAAACCATATTTTATGGTTTTAGTAGACTTAATTCAAGTTATTTTAGTTCTTCAACTTTAAATCAAAATGAGAAATTTGAAAGAAAAATATTGTGTTTTATATTCCAGCTAGCTGCCAAGGCAACATTTCTCATTTTCCTTTAGTTAACAGTAATAAAATAACTAAAACTTAATAAATAAAAAAAAAGACAGACATTTAAAGAAAAACTAATAAAAACATACAAGATAAAAAATGAAAGTGAAAACAGAAATGATAAAAAATGAAATCTATTTCAAAATGTTAACAGAAACTATAACAGTATATGATGATACATTTTTAAGTTTAAATTTAAACACAATTTTGTTTACTATTGTGTATGTCAATTGTATGTAAACTCTAGGTTTTATGGTAGAACTAAATAAGAACAACTCTATGCTACAATCACAACATTTTCCATTCAAATCCCAAAAACTGTCATAATCCCAAACCTGTATGAATTTCTTTCTTCTGTTGAACACAAAAGACGTTATTTTGAACAATGTGGCCAAACCAAACAGTTTCTGTTCCCCATTGACTTCCATAGTATTTTCTTGTTTTATGATCAACGGACGAAGGAATTTCACACAGGTTTGGGAAAACTTGGTGAGCAAATTATGACAGAATTTTCATTTTTGAGTGAACTTCCCTTTAAAACACCATTCCCTGAATAACTGTGTCTATTCTGATGTTGTCTGAGGGGTGCAGTAAGGTTGTGTGAAGACTGACCTCATCAATATTTCTGAGCCATTTGCTGATGTTTTCGAAGCTCTTGGCGTTGGTGATGTCATATACAAGCATGATTCCCATGGCCCCTCTGTAGTAAGAGGTAGTGATGGTGTGAAACCGTTCCTGCCCCGCTGTATCCCTGCACAAACACAATGACAACCACAATCAAACACTGCAGCAGCCCAGACGCTCGTGGACCTAATGGATTATAGACTACAGAAGATCCAAAATTAATTAGCTGGTGAACACAGCTGACTAGTTGTTAAGAGCCACCAATTGTTACAAACCAATATCTATCTCAACAGCTGTTGCCATCAATTATACTGATGGACAAATGATCATCTAATGTCCTTGTGTTTCATTACTCTACAAGGCAATTTCACAGAAAATATCCAAAATGGGAACACAAGGTGCAGGGGCGATAAGCATAAGACAGACTGAAATTTGATTCCCAATTCAATGCCTGTAAAACGTCATTCATTCTAGGGGTGCAACGGTTCTCTGTAAAAAATCGAACCGTACGATTCTCCACACACGGTTCGGCATGCACTAGGAATAAATAAATAAAAGAGAGCCTCCATAGCTTAAGGTAAACAGCAAAGATAAGTTTTTCAAAAATGAAAACAAAAAGAAAAGTAAAACTAACGGTGACAGTGCTTGCATGTATGCTTGCAATAATGAAAGGACACATTTAATTTATACTTTGTCTTAAATCTCATTTTGTAAAAAAAAAAATCGTGAATCGAATCGAATCGTGAAATCAAAATCGTGAATTGAATCGAATCGTGAGTTGAGTGAATCGTTACATCCCTACTGCCACCTACTGGCGGTTTTTCACATTTAAAGTATCTTTTCGTTTTTAAAATAACTGTAAATATCAGTATTCAATGTTTTATGTTTAAAATATTTGAATGCATTTGTAACTGCAGGTTAAATGCATTCATGTCCCTCTGAGCTGAATTAGTGTAAATAGGCCTACACCTAAATGCGTCTTCAGATGCAGCTTCTGTGTTTCCTCTGCATTGCAAAGATGAATTTTGTTGATGCCGATATCATTTGTTTGGTAACAGCCCAAATGTCTTATTATTCTAATTGACTGATTAAATGTGAGAATTTGACTCAAAAGATGATGCACACTTTTAGAAAAAAGGCTTTATAAAGGTAAAAATGCCCATAAAATGTAAAAATCAATTGTAACTTATTGGAACAGAATAATTTCTATCACTGCTGTGACCAGCACACAGAATATGAAGGATATCAAAAACAAGTTTTACACACACACACACACACACCAGTACGTAAAAGGACATTTAAGAGGGTTTATTCTCTAAATAACTCTAATTTCATGTTGCAGAAAAATGTGTTTAAAAATTGTGTATGGTCTCTTGTTCTTGTTCCAAGTTATCTTCCTGTCCACTGATTTTTGCCTCTTACAAAAGCCACAAAGCCTTCAAAGAAGACAGTAAAGGCTTATGTCATGCTTGAGCTTTAGTTAGGCTGAAACTTGAAAGTTAAGTTGCACGACATAAATGCAATGTTTAGGTATTATTATTATTTTTATTACTATTATTTTGATTTATGCCTTAGTTTTAGTTTGTACTGTTTACCTTTTTTAAAGTAATGTGAAATTGATTTTTTTTTATTTATTTATTTATTTTATTGATATATTTGTATTTGCATTTTGAATGTAATTTGGCAATTAAATGCAATAAATGGGTTTAGTTTTTTTAATGTATGCAATTTCAGCTATAAAAATTTAAATTTTTCTAAAAAGAAAACAAATTAGTTGTCTATTTTAAGAGACCTATCTTATTATCTCTTGTATATTTAGCATTGCTCTTTAATAAAGAAAAATGGCTTCTTATCCGATTACTCGATTAATCGATGGAATCATCTGTAGAATACTCGATTACTAAAATACTCGATAGCTGCAGCCCTAATACATTACCAGTGCATACACTTGCTGCACGTCGCATAAAACGTTCAAAAATGTCAATATGTGGGAGTAAGAGAAGAGCAGACGTATGGATAAATCTGACGACGCAAGAGAGAACTCATTTCGGTCCGGTTTTCAAAGCGCAGACACTGAAGCATACACACACAGAAAGCGCGTCTCACAGTGCGCGAGTACTCTTTCGCGTCTCACGAACAGAGAATTACACAAAATTATGTCGACTTGTCCCTTTTGACGAGTATTCACGTAAACACAGTTGATTACGTCTTAAGTGAACGTAAACAGTAGGGAAAACGTGTATCAGTACATTGCCTCCATTGCAGCTGTGCATTCAGTTTTAAAGGGATAGCAGCCTAATTTAGTTGCTATTGTTCGAGTCATTGATGTTAATCAAGCAACAAAAGAAACACAGAAAATCACGCACTGCTCTTGACTGAAAAACTTTAGTAGCCCTAAAGATTAATCTAAATTTATTTATAGAAATAAATATGTCTGCTTGAAAGAATGAAGAATATGGTAAACAATTTGCTATAAAGAATGCATAATTAGCCTATAAAACCATTGGTATTTCATTAAAAAGAAGACCATGTTCTTGTTCTTTATGAGAAGTGGTTTTATTTCATTTTAACAAAGGCATGTTGTGTGTCACTGCAGTTAAATCGGTGTCTATCATGATATAACCTTAATATCAAACCTACATAATGAGTTTTTAGAGAAAGTTTAGAGAAATGCTTAATAAATGCACTGTAACTACACCCATTAGATTTTAGCTGACTAAATTTACTGTAGATTTAGCTGACTTAAATCTTATGATATTTAGTCGACTAAAACTAGACTAAAATTAAAAACAATTCAGATGACTAAAACTAAAATGGCATTTTAGTCAAAAGACTATGACTAAAACTAAATCAAAATTTGCTGTCAAAATTAACACTGGAGGAAACACATTATCCTGGTAGATGAGTGTCTGAATTGCATGCTAGCTTTTTGTCATTTAGCATGAGCCGTTTGGATGGTAACGCTTAGGCTAAGTCAATAACTTTTAACAAATTAATAATTTTCTGACTAAAGCCTAAATTTGACGCTTGACAGGTGTTAATTTTGTTTCCTGCATATAAACAAGGGCTACATAATATATAGAAACTAGCGAAATATTGCAAAAATACAAATCGCAATATGCATATCACAACAGCTTGCAATAACTGAATGATTTTAATAGTTCAAAAAATGTCAGATTAATGTAACTTTATTACCAAGTTGAGCAAGGAATTGGTGGTATTTAAATAGTTTTTTGGTTGGTTTGTTTATGGTGTTAAAATGACATTTTTAACCTTTTATATGATGCTACAGTAAAACACTGCAGTTTACTTTTTTAACAGTTATAGAACATGAGAAAGAACATGAAACGTGTGTTAGTCAAGTCATTTTTTTAAAACGCATTTAAATAATTACATTTTTATATAAATTATATTTAATTTTAAATTGGTTTTACACACTTAAAGCATGGTCGTAACGTAATGGTACTTACCATATCTGTAGCTTTATCTTCTTTCCTTGCAATTCAACTGTTTTGATCTTAAAATCGATTCCTAAAAAGACACAAAAGCCAGAAGCTGAACAGAGACACTTAAAAGAAACAGCATTCACAACCTATTTTACTTCTGTGAGTGAAACACCATATTCAATGTGCAAAATATTGCATGACAGGAATTTTGTTCATTGGAAATTGATTGGATCCACTTAGGATTGTAATACTAGAATGGAGTCAGATCTGAATTTGATAGTACTCTCTTCCTGAGGCACTTTTTAGGACGCTTTTTCACCAGGACGTTGATACTGAAAGTCAAGTCAGAAGGGCCAGAGCTTCTCCACATATCCCAAAGGCTACACTACTTTTCAAGCGGATTGTTATTTGCCATTATTGCTGTACTACTGATAATAGGGTTGGGCGATGTCAACAAAATTGGCATCAGACGATGTCTACAGTGAAACATCGCGATGGACGATGACATGGGGAGGGGGGGGGCTTTCCGTATTCAGAAAGGCACAGAAGACAAATAACGATTGCGAATGGTTGCCTGTTACATTACAGTACATACAATTTCACTTACCACATAAACAGAGCAAGGAGAGATGACTGAGGACGATGGCGAATGATTTGCAGATGCTCAGCACCACTGACAAACATCTAATCTTGTAAAATGTGTGGTAAGTACTGCCGCTCCATAGTATAAACAGAGTACATGAAATTGCGAATCTCGAAAGTGAAACTAAAAAGCGATCGTGCATTCAAAAGCAGTTTCAATGCCAGGCATAATAGCGGCTCCCTGATGCCCGCAATTTATATACAGTATAATTACCCAATGATATAACTGCGGGAGAAAGTATTGAAATATATATTTTTCTCCCATCTCGTATTTATTCCCTTTAGCCAGGGTTCCGTAGTTCAAGTCATATTCTTTCCGAACACGGTATTGGGATGCGGCGGAAATGGGGGCAGACTGCGGGGAGGGAGGGGTTCTGGGATCACAATGCCGGCTCAACATCGTGATGTCTATCAGCCATCGGCGATGGACGATGGCATCGTCTATCGGCCCAACCCTAACTGATAACATGTAAGAAAGCTCGCGTTATGTACAACATTAGCCTACAACAACCTAAATTATCACACAGCCTAAAAAGGAAAGTTGTTTCAGAGGCGGAACAAGTTATTACATTTAGGCCTGGATTCACAGACAGCGCTTAGGTTAAGCCAGGATTAGGCCATAGTTCAATTAGGACTTTTCAGTATCTTTTATAAACAAATATTACTGGTGTGCATCTTGAGACAAAACAATGGCACTGACCGGTTTGATATGAAAGGATACAGGCTACAGTGCGCCGGCGCCTTTGTGTGTGCAATTGAAGAGCACGCGCTTCGAGCACAGTACCGTTTCCACGCTCGCTTGTCTCGCGCCTGGCACCGATTGTGAAGAGGAACACGCATCTGAAACGTCTCCCGTTCTCAGTCATTCTGCGACTGAATAAATGCACTTCTTGTCAAGAGAAAAAGTGACAGAAGCAGCAGTTGTGAGTGGGGTGGCCAACCCTAGCCCCGCCCCTGCGTTAA